AGAACTTGGAACCTGGAAACTTTGGAAACTTTGAAATTGAACGACACGTCCGAGTTGGGTCCGCCCAGCAACGATTTTCGTCAGATAGTGGGGGTACAACTTGGGTACAAGGAGGTAGTGACTAACCATAAATAATGCCAAACGGCAACGAGAGTTCGGTTCTCTCTTGCTGGATATCTTTACACTTGTGTGCTTCGGCTCTTTTTCTTGTTGCGATGCCCTAGTAATGTGTTCTGCAGCAATATGGGATTCAGACTCACATGAACATAATATCCGGCGCCAGGTTGAAGTGACACCATATATATATTGGTGTGGAATGGATCATGTTCTCTCGGCTCTGCCCAGTGCGGCAGTGCCTTCTCGAGGTCAAGGCGCAGCTCTACAAATCGTACACTTGATTCTGATCTTTCTACGCATACTTCTCTCTCTTAATCTATTGTACAATATCGGTGCGTGCCAGTGGAAAACGATTGAAAAGAGAGAGAAACTTGGAAGTTTCACGTCGAGGCAGCGGTCTCGGCCGCACGAGCGAGATAAACAGATTCAAGCTTTCTTTCCACAACCCGCCATGCCGTGCGGGTCGGTGTAATGGGCGTGCTTGGACTATTCGGAGAAGGTGAGCCTTCAGACATGGACCGTATAGGACGCTGTCGCACGACCGATGGTGCAGGGCTAGCAGGAGCAGATTCTGCCTTTCGTGGGGCAGCAGAAGTCGGAGGGGGTTCAGTAATAGATGGCACTCGACTTCGCGGGCCAAATAGCCCCATCTCGACCTTTGGAGCGGCCTCATTTTCGGGTATAGGCGGTACGGACAGAATGGGGAACCACAGGGACTGCGTAGACTGCTTGCGGTGCATTGACAGCGGCCTCGCCGGCCTGCAAGTACGAAAAGCGTCAAGTACACATCGCGATAAAGTTTGGGGGCGGGACGCACGGGAGACAACTACCGTCAAGTGGTGGGACCTGACTTTTTGATAGCATGATGTCGTGGATATCTCTTCAAGACCATGAAGCGAATGTCAGCGGGCGAGTGGTTCGAAAGCAAGGTTTATCTGCACCGGAAGAGGCCTTCACGTTCTGTTCTCAGCTTCCTGATTTCGATGGATAACCCTTGTATTTCTTTCTGGAGGCTCTCTGCAAGTTCGGACATGACGGTATCTGGGGAATCAGCAGCCTTCCTAGAGCACGGCAGTCACAGACTCAGAACATTGCCCTAGCCCAGGCGAGTATGACTCACGTAGGGTCTACTGTCTTTTTGAATTTCTTGAACCATTTTCGGGGGTGTGGGATCATGAGAAGGCTTCGCAAGCGCAGGATGTCGAGACTATGTATGTGTGATGCTCCGTCGCTGCTCGTGGGCCACTCGAAGGCGCTACTTGGACCAGATCTGTTGGCCGCGATGATCAAACATGCGATAAGTGCATGGCCTACCACGTTGGGCGTCAAACTCGCCGGTCACTCGGACCGCCAGCAACACGAGGAGGCTTGCTCCGGAAAGGATGACGGCATGCACGCCTCTAATTCCGAAAATGGACCGACGAATAGTAAAATAACAAGGACTGGAATGTGTCAGGAACATCATAATATTATTTCACAACATCTAAGACATATCGACGTCAATAACATCAAAGCGCTGGGCGGTCGACAAGCTCTTCAGTGTCAGGAAGATAACGAGATGATTGCACTTACCTGCCGTTTACTCTTACGATAGACGCCAGCGTCCATCTCAAACTCCTCGAATGTTCTCTTCGTCGCTCGAGGCGGCTGCTCCATGACAACGTCAATGTCCATTGGTTCAGGCGAGGCTTCACGTAATGGTGTTGGCAGGCGCATGGCAAAGCCGCTACCCCCCTCACGCTCACGTACAAGCACACGATGCTGAGTGTCGCATACCACGTCTCGAAGCATGGCTTCAGGGACATACATCACTCCCCGCGGTACACCCTTGATGCCGTAGTGTGCCTTCATGGTTTCCAATGTGATAGGCTGGTGAATGCGATACACGCTACGTATACGGTATGCGTAATTCAGCGACTCCCATTCGCGGCTCGAGCGCTCGTTGAATTGCTGGTTTCCGACACCATCGTGAGGAAGAGGTGGCTCCCGCGTCCTTGCAGAGTCTATTTCACAAATGTAGGCAAGTTGTGAAATAGGAGCCGAAATGTAGAACCAAATCCGTTGTACGAAGGACGGAAGAGGGGTCTTCCGGAACTCATAGTTCTTATGCCCTGAGGTTATGTATTGTAAAATCTCGTTCTAGTCGCCTTCTTGTTAGATTTGAATGCCAGGAATCATTCACTGCTCACAGAAGTGGTCAAGACGATGTCTGACTTGATGTTCTTCCCGTTCATGTCAACACCGGTTGTCTATAAATGCCCACACAGTGCCATTGTCGATTTATGTGAGGTCCTGTTCAGGATCCCTCGGTACGCGTGAGTCAAGCAAGAGTCAATCAAGGCTTTGACTAGGTTGAGTTGTTTCGCTCGGGAGTCGGGCCCGGCCGAGTCCCATCAGATTGACAAACCCTCGCTTGCGCCGCCAAGGCCAACTTGTTCAACCCCACCGTTTGCCTCGCTCGTTGTCATGTAATCTTTCTGAAAACACTCACATATACCTCGCTGAACTGTCTACGTACGCGTAGGGCTTATACACTTTCTAGCCTCCATATTCCTGGAAAGCTGCTATGCATACTCGTTATGGAGGATTATTCGAATCAAAATGACGCAGCCCTTGTGCGGCCCTGTGTGTGGGTCCTTGTAGGTTCTTGTATAACTACGACAATGCGCTGATTGGAACGAGGACATCCGGCTTGACCTTGTATATTTCTTCTTTTTCCTAAGCTAGACACGGCGTTAGATGGGCCAGCAGTGCAACTTTGTACGGCACGAAAATCTCAGATTTTACCTCCGCTTTCGAGAGCTTCACGACAACGTTCCCAAGCTCCACTATAACTTTGTCTTGCTGTAGGATCTAGAGTAGTTGCATGGCTTGCCAACGAGTACGACACTCATCTCCCTTCGATAATGGTCAGCTGAGGTCAAGATCAAGCTTCATTGAACAGCGAGCATATCGGCTCCCACGAAAGACGTCGGCAAGTCTGTAGGCTCTTGTTCTGAATGTGGTATAGTGTTCGTTCCCTTTTGACATGGACTCACTACCGAATGTCTATTTAAGATTTGCCTCCGCCGCGATACAGCACATTTCCTTGAGGCACCCTAGGCATAATGAACACCGCCGACATCATACTCCTCAATTCAATGGCTCAGGCCTATCTTGTGGACCTTGAAGCCATGGTCTTATACACCTTTTTCTACGGTGTGTGAATGGAGTTGACACCACTGATCATCATGACGATTGCTGATATTTCTTAGGTGTTCTCACTGTTTTAGTCTACGCTTCAGCTGCCATGCTATTGTAAGTTCTCAATGTCTGTCGTTGCCTCGGCCTGACGGTTTGTGCTTGACAGGAAACGCCGACTAAATTCGAGACCAACTATATTCATGTTCGCTGCAACCCTCGCCAGCTACCTTCTGTACTCATTCGACTGGGCTTTCCATCTTGCTGCTCTGGCAAGAGTGATCAGCTACTCTCTTCTGGAAGTGACTGCGACGACGTTCAATAGCCAATACCTTGCTGATCGCCTTCGCATCGCTTACCGTTACAATATGTTGGAAACTATACTTGAGCAAGCAATGGTACGTTCCCTCAAAGAGGATCTCTATCCAGGTTACCATCATATTCCTAATCTTACGCCTCAAGATCTCACTGAGCGATGCCATTGTGATTTGGCGTGCGTGGGTGTTGTCTTATGATAACCAGTGGGCTATCATTGCTCCTTGTGCACTCTTACTTGGCGCTGTTGGTGAGAAGTACATTTAATTAAGGCTCTGCAAGATGCTAACTCACTCTAGCTACAGGGTTCTCGTCGATCGCCTTGATCTACTCGAGCTACGTCAAGTATATCATAAGCATAAAGCTGTCGCACAGTATAGGAAATCGTCTCTACTACATCTCCCGATCGTTGTCGATCGCTGCAAATGCCGCAGCTACTCTTGTGATCTTTTATAAACTATGGTGCGTGCGTCTTAACTTGATCGGAATGTGTACAAATTAACCCCTTATCAGGGAGCATCAACGCTTTCGCCGAGAACTTGGTTTGAAACGGTCAAGGGTGACGAAAGTCCTATTTGTGCTGGTCGAATCAGGGCTTGTTTTCCTCGCACTCCAGGTACTTTCAGTGATATTGACCGAAGGGCCAGTTAAACCAGGAGCTGACGGATACTGCAGTCAACAAGCCTCATAATGTCTTTCATAACTGCCGAAGGGACAGTCAGCACTGCTTCCGCATACGTGGCGCAAGCCTTCCTTTGTCTAATTAAGACATTCATTGTTCGTGGTTCTTTCTCAATCTTACTTGCTCCTCTAACAGTGATCTGTCTAGGCTGCTTATCCTTCCATGGTTGTATATCTCGTGGGGCAACAGCACGATATAGATGAGATTGACGGTATAGCAGGAAACCAACAATCGGGTTTGGCGATGAAAACCAATCTCACTTTCAATCGCCTATCTGGGACTCGGACACTTATCATTATGGGAAACGACCCAGAATGGAGTCATTCTACTACCAGTAGTAGTAGAGACAGCTAGACTGTAGCTCGATGGTTATATGTATAATTTGTATATCAGTAGGCCAGTGTGCTCGTATCATATTTAGAAAGCCTGGAACATTTGTAATAGTAATTCTAGCTCGTTCGAAAGACGGGAAACAAAAGTGTGGATTTTCGACTGTTTGCATCCTCGGAATACTGAGCAAAGGCTGGGCACCTTAGAGGTAAGTGTTTAAAAAGTCATTCATTGGAGGACGAATGGGCAGAGCCCATGCAAAGTGGGTCCAGTCGGGATCTGAGATCTGAATGCCCAGGAATGTCCCTATGCATGAATTGGAGGAGAAATGTTGTGAAAAAGATGATCAAAATATTTGAGTCGGTATGCGCCATGATGTATTAAGAGAGAATCGAACTCCCGGCGGGTCGAGTCTACGAAAATTATCGAATGGCAACGACCCAGGTTACCACTACCCCATTAATGCATGGAGGAATACGAGTGACTCTCCAGCACGTGTGTTTGCAGTAAAGGTGAGTCAAGAACACGAAGAAATCAGGACGGGCATAGCTGTTCACAAAATGACGAGCGGGAAATGAAGGCTATGATTGGCAGGAACATGGAGCTCGATTTCTAGTGAACTTGTTCCTATTGCCATCCGGCACAAGTTTCGATAAGATTACAGGAGGCTTGGCTTGGTTTTGGTTTTGGTTTTGGTCTTCTCGTCGACACCAAGGGGCCAGGTCTTGGATTCAATTCAAAGCATTGGTTCCAATATGGGAGGCTTTTCAAATTCTTTTCACTGTCATGTCTATCATGTTACTTCCAGGAGAAATCCCCTTCAAAATCACCATTACCGATGCCCGACTCTCTCTGTTGAGCAGAAGCTTATGCGGACGACCCTACCTGACGAACTTGATGAGGCTACGGTCTGAGAGTATGGAGCACCTCTAAAGGACGTCAAGAGGCTCACCAACCACTGGAAAAGACGGCTTTGACTGCCGTAAACAAGAGCCTGGCTACGCTCAATGCCGAGTTACTTCAATTCACGAGGGATCTCAACGTCGAAGGCTATGGGACGTTCAATGTCCACTATGTGCACAAGACGAGCCAGGTTAAGGGCGCCTTACCTCCTCTCTTTGTTCACGGATGTAAGTGACTTGCTAAGGGTTCGATAGATTCTTCTCTAACTTGATTTTCAACAGGGCCTAGAAGCTTCATCGAAGTTTGCAAGATCTTGCCACTCCTCATCGAAGCGTCCCCGGGTTACCCTAGCTTTCACATCGTGGCTATCAGCCTCCCTGGGCTCAGATTCTCCACTAGCCCGACTAAGAAGGGCTCCAAAATATCCCAATATGCTGAGGTAGCTAACGACACCAATTGCACGGAATGTCACTATTCAAATCTCTAACCCAGTCGCCGCAAATTGATGGTTTCTTTTGGATACGATGGGTACGGTATGAAGACGGCTCTTGATATAATGGAGCAACCAGCTGATATCGCGCTGCAGTTACCCAAGGCGGCGATTGGGTCTGCTGGGTCTGTGTTTGGGGTTGTGCAGGACAAGGCTGGGTATGATGCATGATCGTTTCTTCACCGACGTGATCTTTGTACTTGTATGCAGATGCAGGGATTACGACGAGTCAAAGAGCGTTTGTTGATTTATGATCATACGCTGGCACGTCCTGGACAGTGGATAACCAACAATCAGAGTCAGACTGCGGTTTCGCGACGCGTCAATTATAGGCACGTGACGTCCATATACGACGCGTCTTTTCGCGCTTTCGGACAACGCCGAACTTCCACCTCTCTCTCCTTGACCACCGCCCTCTCCCAGCTGCCCGTTTCCTGTTTTCTTGGTTTTCTACAAACTCCTTCCTGATTCCACGCTTTTGAATTGCTAATGGACGGACATATCACCAATGATGGACTCAACTACATCCAGCATGACCTGGAAGCGGCAGCGAGCCCGCAGCCCAAGCTCTTCTCTTTGACGCAGAGCATGAATCAACTCGAGAATCGAGTAAATCTGGAGAAACATATGCCTTTTAGGCCGGCACGTGGACATGGACAGGCGCATATGCAGCCAATGGCCCCGCCGATTTTTTCTGGTTTGCGACGGTTCCAGAACGGACAAGCACCGAACCAGCCTACACATCAAAATGCAAAAGCGAGCTCAAAACAACAGCAACGGCCTTTTTTCAGTCTTTTGAACGCATCCGCCAACGTACCTGTACCGGTCTTGACACATAAATCCTCCCCGACTGAGTTTCGTATCATACCTGCATCTTGTGCGTAGAATTCTCTTTTTTTCTACTGAAAGCCTGCGACATTAACATGTCGTTTGACAGCGGATAAAGCTCTCTCTCCTTCTCCACCACCCGCTGAACCAGCGCATATACCCAACACCCCTACAAGCTCCAGCATTGGAATTGGAATTGGAATCGGGCTTCATCATCCCAGGCCAAGCCAGATGCTTCCACCGCCCCCACCGCCCCAGGCCCCGGACTCACGTTCGACATCGCCGGCACCCCGACCTAGACCGCGCTCACGGTCAAGGTCAAGGTCAAGGTCATCAATGGCTTTCCGACGGGGCGATAGGGAAGGGGAAGGGGAGGGGGAGGAAGATATGAGTATGGGCATGGATGTTGACGCGGATATGCCAACGATTGCAATTAACGCGCTTAGAGGGGTACGCGCTGCGAATGCGGAACTCAGTGAAGAGGTCTGTGCTCTAACCCTTCGTTCGAGGAGCATTTATCGGCCTTGATCCTTTTGAAGTTAAGATGGGTCACGCACTGATACTTTTCTCCTTGTATCACACAGCGTCGCAGATCTCAATCCCTACTTGGCCAGCTCAACGCGCTCACGACCGCTCACGAGTCACTCAAGGCACAACAATCCTCCGACTCCGAGAATCTGCGTTCCTCACTTCAACAGATTGCTGCTCTCAAGGAAGAAGCGTCAGTGCTGAGCGCTGAGCGCGATGGGGCTGTGAGAATGCGCCAGGAGGATGGGGGGAAGATGGAGGCATTGAAGAGGGGGATGCGAGAGTTGGGGGAAAGGTACATTTTTCGTCGAAATCCTGGTCTAAGCCTGACTCGTGTTTGGAAACTTAGTCACGCGGCGCTGAGGGCGGCGTTCAGACAGCTGAAGGAGGCGTCGGAGCAAGAGATGAGATGCGGAGAGGAGGTGAGGGGTGCGAAGGCGTGGGCTGGGGAGGCGTTAAAGAGTAAGCTGTCCTTTGTGGTGGTGCTCCTTCGACTGCTGACTGGAATTTAGAACTGGAACCGCTTCTCGAGGACGGTACATGCTTCGCGAAGGAGGCTAGGAGCGTCGTTGGGGAGCTCCAGGGGGAATTGGCAGATTGTGAGTCTTTTTTTGCTCGTAGCCAGTCGTAGTTCCTGACTTCTGACTGTGACGTTAGCCCGCCGCGTGGTGGATCTCTTGCGAGATAAGCTCCATCACCTTTCCTCTACACTTGCGGATTCGCAGGGCCGAATGCGCGAACTCGAAGCCGTGGAGCGCGAGTCGAGGGAGCATTTCAAGGGAGTGGTCCAGAAGCTGCAGGAGGGTGCGGAGGAGAGGGTGGGCGCTGCGAAGACTAAGTGGGTGGCTTCTTTCGGTTATACAAATTTTCCTGCTCTTATATCTTTCGGTTTACCAGGCTCGAGGAAATGGAGGGAGAAATGAAGGAACTCAGGGAGTGTAGACATGTGTACGTGCTTTTAATATATGTTTGGAAGGATGCTTACGTCGTTTTTTCTATGAAACTAGGAAGATCGCCCAGGATCTGCGAATGGGGGACCTAACCAAGATGCTCCGCGAACTTGAAGAGGCGCATACTGAGTACGTCTCTACTCATATCCACGTTTTCTCATCTTATGTTTTCCCTGCCTCTCAGCACGACTGCGGCTCTGGATAATCTACGAGCAGAACATACCAGATTAGGGGTCATCAACGACGGGCTGGTCCAGAGGTGCTTATCATCCGTATTTACCTTCGATTGGGATTTTGATCACGTTTTAGACTTTCGGAAGTCGAAGAGAAGCGGCGCATTGGGCTCGAGGCGGTTGCCGCGAGAGAGGAGGAGCTCATCGCTGCGGCAAAGGCAGTTGATGTGGCCGAGGAGAGGTGGGCTTAAAGCTTTTCGTTGAGGGAACTTGAAGCACTGACGAGGCTGGTTGTATCCCTAGTCGAAGGCAAACGGACCTGTGCATTGCAGTGGGCTCTTTCTTCCTTCGCCAGTGTTAGTGTATTGAAGAACTTTAAAGGTTCTGCAAGAGCGCTTCGACGCACAAACGATGACCCTCCGGCTTACCAAGGAGCAATATGGGGACCTCCAGGTCAGTTCCTTTCCTCTAGCTCCTGAATTCTAAGCGCGCTGTTAGATAATTTACACACATCAAGGAACGACTTCAAGCATCCGAAGATGCGTCCGCAGCAACACGCGAGGCACTAGAAAGGGCTCGCGTATCTCTAGCTACAAACTGTACAGACATCAAGCGAATGGCGGACGAGGCGCTTGAAAAAGCAGACGTGTGAGCCGTTGCTGTGGATTAAGTATTGGATTAGGGCTCACAACAGTGCCAGGATAAGACAGGCTGAGGTTCGGTTGGCTGTATGTCTTCCTTTCATCTCATACAATTGGAGCGATTGACCTACCGAAATCCAGGGCTTACAGGAACAATGTGCAGTGCTGGGTGCAGAAGCCAAGAAGCTACGAGCGGATGCTATAACAGGTGCTGGGGAGTACGTTGAACAGTAATATCGTGTTCGTGAACTGACGTTATTTTCTTCTCTCAAGGCTCAAAGATACGACGGCCAAACTCGTCGTACGTTTCATGCCTCTTATTTTTATACGCATCTGCCGACCTGCGCCAATGTGCAGAGGCTTCAAGAGCGAGGCGAGAGCCAGGAAAAATCTCTGGAACAAGCAGAATCGTGGCACGCTGCGCTAGAATGCAATATGCGCAATGTTATTCAAGAAAAGGTGGACGAGATCGATAAGTTGAAGAAAGATAGTTTACTTAGCCAAGAGGGGTATGCAAGATGACCTCTCTGATCGCCAATACTGATCGTCTTGTCGTTCCAGGCTACACGCGGCAGAAGTTAAAGCTGCTGTATGTTTATTATCCTTTCGTATAGGGCGCTAGCCAGCCTCATTGTTGACCCGACGCAGGCATTGCAAGAGCAGGTAAACGCTCAGGCGGCATCCTTGCAGCAGGCTCTGGGCAGGTATAGCGACCTACGGGTACGCGCTTCTACTACCTGCTTCAGATTGGGCGAGTTTGCTGAGCAGACTCAGAAATCCAGCGCCTCCATCGCAGAAGAGCTTAGCGCATCCCAGGCCGCTCTAGAGGAGGCGAGGCAGGAGATAATACAACGTTTACAAGACTCCATGAGGCTCGTGAAGCTGTGTGAGGGTATAGAGGATGAACGTGCCAAGGCCGAGGAAGAGCGGTTGCGCAGGGTGCACGAAGAAGT